CGCTGCCCCCCGCAGCTCAGATGCTGAGCGGCGGCTCGGCCTGGAGCTGGGCTGCCATGAGTCGCCGGCGGCGGCGTGGGCTGCAGTCCCTGTGGCAGTGGGTTGCCATGGGCTGCCGCGTGTAGCCAGCAGCCAGCGTGAGCGGCCAGCAGCCGCAGTGAGCGGGCGTCCAGAAGCTGGCGACTGATCTGCCTCGCTAGAGAAGAGCGCAATGATGGTGCCGGCTTGGGCCGGTGAAGCAACGACCTCCACAACTAGATTGAAGAACAAAAAAACGACAGCAACTTGTCTGTTCCCTTTCCCCCAATTCCCCAGCGCTGTTCCCCTCCCCGCAATTCCCCAATAAAAATCTTTAAAAAAACAAACAAACAACTTCATTGTTGTCTTATTTTAAGAAATTGCCACAACCACCCAACCTTCAGCAGCCAGCACCCTGATCAGTCAGCAGCCATCAACATGGAGGCAAGACCCTCCACCAGCATAAAGATTATGAAGGCTCATATGATGGTTAGCATATTTTAGCAATAAAGTATTTTAAAATTAAGGTATGTACATTTTTTTTAGACATAATGCTATTGTGTACTTAATAGACTGCAGTATAGTGTAAACATAACTTTTATATGCACGGGAAACCAAAAAACATGTTTGGCTTGCTTTATTAATGTGGAGGAAAGATTGTTCCATGATGTAACTGCTGCCAGAACTGCCAGGTAGATAGATCCTGGCCAGATCAGCGATTGCCTTTCGAAAATTCCCTCAGATCGAACTGTCTGATTGAACCCTCCCCTATGACCCACAGTGTGCTTGCTGGTTTGTGCTGGTTCCTGGAACGGCTGTTGCCCCAACCCCAGACAAGCATGTAAGGCATTTCCCCTTTATTTAGGGAGTGTCATGCTCCAGAACCCCCATTCACCCTTCCCTGTCCTATATAATCCTTTAGCATCTGCCATGTGGCACAGAGGATATCCATGTCTTCTTGCTACCACCTGAGACATGCCTCGTATGTAAGTTTCCTTAGTAAACCTCTTCATGTAATGCTGGAGTTATCAGCCCCTTTCTTGTTCTGTTGGCCCTGAGAAATATTATGTAACAATTGTGATATTTGCTTTATTATGGTGGTCTGGAACTGATATCTCCAAGGTATGCCTGTATTCTTCCTATTTCTCATTCTTTTTATCCTGCATGCTCAAAGGCCGAAGAAGCAGTCTGGCATCCATAGAACTCACTTGGCCAGGGGAAGACTCAAGGGTGGGAGGGAAAGTTGTGAACATTTGCTTGTTAATAATTTTTATTCTATCACATATATTCATAATGAAATCATGGAAGTGATATTACATCACCTTTTTCTATATTCTATTGGTTAGAAGCAAGTCACAGGCCCCATTCACACTCAAGGGCAGTGGATCACAGAAAGCCATAAACACTGGGGAGCGGGCAGATAATAAGGACCACCTCAGAGTCTGTGTGTCACACTGACTTTCTCAGTCTCTATAATGGAAGGTGAGACGTTAGAATGGAGTTCTGACCTGTAAGTTACCAGGGCTGGGTCAGTGGATTCTCCTGCCAGAGACTGTGAATCTGGAATGGTGGTACAATTTTGAGGAGAAGGTTAGAATCCCTTTACAAAGGTGGGTGGCAGCAACACAGGACATTGGTGGTGATGTGGGAGTGCTTGTGACAGCAGTGTCCTGAAATTGCCCCTGATTGGCAGTCTGTAAAGACTTTTAAAAAAATTAATTTTTATGTTTTAATTACAGTGATATTAGACATTATTTTATATTAGTTTCAGATGTACAGCATAGTGGCTAGATATTTATATAATTTATCAAGTGATCCTGCCGATAAGTCCAGCATCTACCTAGCATCATATACATAGTTATTATAATATTATTGACTGTATTCCCTCTGTTGTACTTTACATTTCCATGACTACTTTGTAATTACCAATTTGTACTTCTTAGTCCCTTCACCTTTTTCACGCAGTCCCGCAATCACCCTCCCATCTGGCAATCATCAGTTTGTTCTTTGTGTCTATGAGTCTGTTTCTGTTTTGTTTTGTTTTTTAGAGTCCACATATAAGCGAAACCATCTGATATTTGTCTTTCTCTGTTTGACTTATTCCACTTAGCATAATACCCTCTAGGTCCATTCATGTTGTCACAAATGGCAAGATGTCATTCTTTTTTATGGCCAAGTAATAGTCCAGTGAATATATATGTATCACCTCTTTATCCAATTGTCTATTGATGGGCACTTAAGTCGCTTCCATATCTTGGCTACTGAAAATAACGTTGCAGTGAACATAGGGATGCATATATCTTTTTGAATTAGTGTTTTGGATTTCTTCAGATGAAGACCCAAAAGTGGAACTGCTAGGTGATAAGGTAGTTCTATTTTTAATTTTTTGAAGAAACTCCTTACTGTTTTCCATAGTGGCTGCATCAATTTTCAATCACACCAACAGTGCACTAGGGATCCCTTTTCTCCACATCCTCACCAACATTTGTTTGTTAATTTATTGATGATAGCCATTCTGACAGGTGTGAGGTGATGTCTCATTGTGGTTTTAATTTGCATTTCTCTGATGATTAGTGACATATTTTCATATGTCTATTGGCCATCTGTGTGTCCCCTTTGGAGAAATGTCTATTCAGGTCTTCTGCCCAGTTTTTAATTGGATTGTTTGTTTTTATTGGTGTTAACTTGTGTGAATTCTTTATAAATTTTGTATATTAACCCCTTATCAGATGTATCATTGGTGAATGTCTTCTCCCAAGTGGCAGGGTGTCTTTTCGTTTTGTTGATGGTTTCCTTTGCTGTGCAAAAACTCTTTAGTTTGATGTAGTCCCATTTGTTTATTTTTTCTTTTGTTACCCTTGCCCGAAAAGATATAGCAGAAGAAATATTACTAAGAGCTATGTGAAAGAGTTTACTGCCTGTGTTTTCTTCTCAGGGTTTTATGGTATCAGGTCTTACATTTAAGTTTTTAATCCATTTTGAGTTTATTCTTGTATATGTTGTAAGAAGGTGGTCTAGTTTCATTTTTTTGCATGTTTTATCTAGTTTTCTCAACACCGTTTATTAGATTGTCTGTACCCTATTCTATATTCTTGCCTCCTTTGTCATATGCATGATTAATTGACCATATAGTTGTGGGTTTAGTTCTTGTTTCCTGCCAGTTTCATATGTCTGCTTTTCCAATCTCTGTTCAGTTGTGTGACCTCCTCTATGTAGACTTCCAATCAATTCCTCCTTAGGCTTAGGAAGCTCAGAGTTTGTTTTTATTGTTTGTAACCAAGAATGTGGCAGACCCTGTACATGCAGGGAACTAGAAATAGCTGGTGTAACTGTAAATAGTCGATACAGCAGGGATTAATAGAAGGTGAGGTAGGCAGAGGCCAGATTTTGGATGGCCTTGCCATCCATAATTTAGACTTCACCTGAGGTCATGGAAATACATTTAACTATTTTAAATAAGGGAGTAACATGTTATACGAAAATTCTTGTAGAGGCTTTTTGGAGGATGAGTTTAAAGAGAAAGAGAGTGGATGTAGGTGAACCAGTTAGAAAGCTTATCCACTCAAGTAGGTGAGAAAAGATTAAGACTTGAGCTGAGGTGGTTCCAGTGGGATGGAAAGAGGAGACAGATTGGGGAGATAGTAAGGTTACAGAAGCAACAGGATTTGTTTATTAATTGATGTTTGGGTGGGAGGGTAAGGAAAGAGTGTAGGATGACTTCCAGGTTTATGGTTGAGGCAACTGGATGGATGGTGGTGAGGAAGTTAAACAGGTGATATGATATAGGAGAAGACTGGTGATAGTTATAGAGTACATTGGTTGTGTTGTGTGTATAGGCTTGGATATCTGACAGATCTTGATTTGAGTCTTGGCCCTGCTTATTAACTGTATCAAATTGAGTATGTTATATAACTTGAACCTCAGTTTCCTCAACTGTAAATTGGAAGTAACACAACTTACCTCTTGTTTGCATATGTATGAATTAAATGCACAGTGTCTGGTATCCAGTAGGCATGCTATAATGTTAGCTACTATTGCTTCTCAGAAAGAGTTCAGGGAGCAGGCCCTGGAAAAATGGGTGAAGACTTCAGGGAAAGAACTCTGGTTAAGTTACCAGAGTGAAAAATACAACATTGTGGCAAACTGGCTGAAGCCAGGAGGACGTCAACAGTGCTGAGCTACATCTATGTTGCTGAGCAGATGAGTCACTGGAAGTGACAGGCTAGACTGCCTAGGCCACAGCTGGACTGGCTGTGGCCATGCTGGACTGGTTATAACATGATGACTTCATTGTCAGTGGGGAATCATGGGAATCATTTCAGAAGACTTTTTGTCCTCTTCCCCCAGAAGGAATCCATCACATCTTCCTCTTTGATAGGACTTTCCACACCCTGTCTTACTTTCTGGTAGCAGCAAGAACCAGTGGAAAGGGATAGAAAATCCAGAAATTGGGTCTTGGCTAGTTTGTTCATTGATTTGCTGGGTGCATGTTACTTCACCTCGAGCTTCTTATCTGTAACATGAGAATGAGCAGACCTGCCTCCAACGTGTGATGTGAAGATTAGGTGACAATTGGCAGGCACGCAATAAAAAGGCATGCATTACTATTTTATTCATTCGTTGTATATTTTGACTCCTTCTTGCTCCTGGTCCCTTTCCTTGTAGTTCCTTGAAGACACTGATCAATTTAACTCATTTTTGGATCCCTAGCACTTACCTTGGCCGTGTACACAATTTCATGAATGGACGAATGAAAGAATCAATGAGCGTTTGCAGCCGCCGCTGCGTCCCGGGAGCCCCGCCCCCTTCCGCTCTCCCCACCACACAGAGGGGCCACGGGCGGGTCTCTAGCGACCGTTCGCTGGCGCGTGCGCGGGAACCCGCGCGCGGCCGGAGGTGGCGGGCGGGCTCACTCCCCGAGCGCGCGCGCCAGGGGAGGGGAGAGGAGGGGTGGGACCCGGCCTGAGGCTGGCGGGCGGGCCGCTGGCTCTGGATCCGTGGCGGTGGTGGCGGCGGCGGCGGCCGGTGGCTGGCCAAGCGTGTGCCGGGTGGGAGAAGACGAGGCGGCGGCGATGCTGCCACCTCGGTAAGGAACGTGGAGGAGGCCGCGGCTCTTGAGGCCCCAGAAAGCGCGGAGGAGCTGCTAGCTGCGGTCGGTGGCTTCGGGCGCCCGCCGGGCCATGGTGGCTGCGGGTGGTGGTTGGCGCGGTAGCGCTGCGGCCCGGAGCCGTGCGGGGCCAGGACAGTCGCGGCGCTAACGTCCGCGGGGCCCAGCCGCAGATATGAAGCGGAGCCGCTGCCGTGACCGACCGCAGCCGCCGCCGACGCCCGACGCCCGCAGGGAGGATGGGGCTCAGCGGACGGCGGAGCTACCCCAGCCCTTGCCCCCGCGCCGGCGAGCGCCGCCCGGGAGGCAGCGACTGGAGGAGCGGACCGGGCCTGCGGGGCCGGGGCCCGAGGTCAAGGAGCAGGTAGGGCGGGCCGGGGTCTGGGAGGGAAAGGATGGTAGGGGAGCCTGAATGGAAGCGGTGGGGGAAGGGGATCTCAGGCGGGAAGACGGGCTAAGGCATTTGAGGGGTGGGGACTGAGTAGTTCCGCAGGAGGAATGGGAGGTCTGGAGAGGCAGAAAAATGGGGAGTGGAGAAATGGAAGTGATGGCCTCGGGTGAATGGGAAATAGGGTAGTAGGGGGATGAAAAATGGTCCTATGGGCGTTTGTAGTCAGGGGTTCTGGATGGAAAGAAGGGACGCTAGAATGTGAGTTCGGAGTAAATGAACTGCAAAGAATAGGCCTAGTAAAGGGATAGTGAGGAGTTATCTAGAGGGGTAAACAGTGTAAGGTAGGGAAAGTCAATGTGATATAGTAAATGTTATCTTATTTTCTAGAGGTTGTCTCGACAGTTATAAAAACGGATGTCATTCCTAAACATTCTTTGATTTGGCTATCATACTCTTGTAGGAGTGTGTTCAGAGTCTTCAGGTTCTCCTTTATAAGGATCTATTTCACGAGAAAGCACTTTTGAGAAAACACCTGCATGTGTTCAATCCCAGCTCCAATGCTGTGAGCAGGGAATTCATAGATATGAACTGCCTTCTAGGAGTTTTCCACTGAAAACACCTTGATGGGAAAACACAGATAGAAAGCAATGTAAAAATATTCATGGAGTTTTTGAATGGACAGGTGTGTTTACTTAATTTATTAATCAAATGTAGGTGTATTTAGAAGTAGGGGATAAAGGTCGGTTTTATCAGGGAGAAGAAGTGGCCATTAGTAGCTGTAGGAAGTTCAATGAAAGGAGAATGTATGGTCTTTGATCCTGTGGGATTTGCAGAAAAATTTTCTGTGGTAATGAACTCTAGTGACAGCTTTCCTTTTGCACTTGAGACTCTAGTGAACATCTTCTTTGAATCTTTCAAGACATCTATTAGGTCTCCTGCCTCTTTCTCATCAGTTTAAGTGTTTTCCTTAGATATCATTCCTTATATAGTTTCAGTGATGCACATGTTAGCACTTGGATTCCCCCCCCCCCTTTTGCTCTTTCCCCTTTTATTCTTCACCCAGCCCTGAGTAGACTGCACCATCAGCTATCTCTGCCCTTGCTTTCAGGCCACTGAGCATTGTCCTATCGCTGTAATTTCCCCCTTCATCCTTGCCCTTTATATTTTCTGCAGTACCTATTTGAAACTTTAAAAGCTTTTATTTAAAGCTCAGATCCTTTCCTGACTCAGTTTATTATTACATGTGTCACCAAAGAGTTCAAGGTTACTTGATTTTTTTACCTCTTCTTTATATCAGGATTTCTGTGTTCACTCATGCTTTATTTCAGTCTCAGAGAAAGAAGTATTATCCTCCTCTCTGAGGCTAATCCTTCTACTTATGTTCTTGACTTCATCCACTCTGATTTGCCGTTTTTATGTATGTTATTTTCTTTTTCTTAAACTTCAAATAAAAACAAAATAATTTCCCTGAATTGTGTAACCCACCTGAGCTACTTTGTTATCTCTTCTTTGCTTCACCAGCCACCTTCTTGAAAAATGAGTCTATAATCACTGTCTCAGTTTCTTTACCTTGTATTCAATGCTCATATTGTGATTTGGCTTCTATACTTAAATTCTCCCAAAACTAATGTCTTCCAGGGCACTAGTAACTTTGTATGTTTGTTTATTTACTTTTTTTTATTGAGGTGTGACTTAAATACAGTGTACAAATCAAAGGGTCATTCAGCCCATGAATTTTTATAGGACAGTTATACCCACGTGAGCACTACTCAGATTAAGATATAGAACATTTTCAGTACCGTAGAATGTTCCTTTGTGTTTTCTCCCAGTTATTACCCTCCTCCAAAGATAGCCAATTTCTCTACTTCTATCACCATGGCTTGGTTTTGCCTCTTCTTGAGCTTCATATAAATGGAATCATACAGTTTGTACACTTGTGACTAGATTCTTTCATTCAGATCATGTTTATGAGATTCATCTATGTTGCTGCTTGTAGAAATAGTTGGTTCTTTTTCATTGCTGTGTAGTTTTTCATTGTGTTACTGTACCATGATGTATACTAAAACGTCTTTCTTTTTCAAATTAAGTAATGTATGGTTACTTGTGAAAAGTTTTCATTGTGAAAGAATTACACAGAGACATATGTAGCTGTCCCAGGAACCTTTAAATGATTAACTGATAGTCTTCCCCCAGTTCTCACCCTCTCTGACCTCTGAGAATTAGGAGCATTTGTCACTATTGTCCATGTGTTCTTTCTTGATGTTTTTTTCTCTTTTGTTGTAATGACCATTCACTCCTATTTCTTTGTTTCCTATGTGTCTTTTTTTGGTTTTCTCTTCCAGTTCCCTCAGTGTTCATTGAGGATATATCCTCTGTCCTTAGCTCTTTCCTGTATTGTACTCTGTTTTTTAGTGGGTTTCTCTATTTGTGGCAAGTGCCTAGGATGTGGAACAAGGGTCTGTGGGCCTCTTTATTCATGGCATTGTGTCATAGAACCTTCTTGTAGAGTGATATGAGCCCCTAGGCCTGACCTTATTGCTTAGCTGTACATTTCCATCTCTCTGTTTAACCTTTCCACCATAGACTTTCAGCATTTGTGATCTTAACATTTGTGATTTTTATAATTTGATAGTGTCCTTGAAAGTCTATAACTTGTAATTATCTGATTTTGAGAAGGTAAAAATTTCAATTGTGTCTGTTAGTGACTGAATGGATTCCATTTATTCAGGGAGTTAAGAGCCTAGCTGATCAACAAGCATCCAATGACTTTGTTCCCCATTTCTCAGGACATGGAGTAATGCTTGTTATACTTTATACTATGCTGGTTTTTAGGAATAAGTTCTGAACAGGATTCAGGACTTGGATCTCTAGAAGGTCAGCGGCTTATTGCATCATTAAATAGAATGCATTGTTTCTCCTTTGAAATGTGCTTCTTCCTGTGCCCTCCCTCCCTCCCTTCCTTCCTCCCTCCTTCCCTCTCTGCCTTCCTCCCTTCCTCCCTTCCTCCCTACCTTCCTACCTTCCTACCTTCCTTCCTCCGCCCTTCCCTCCCTGCCTCCCTCCCTTTCTCCCTTGTCATCAAACTTGAAATTGTATATATGGTCTTTGACTTCTCCTTCTTCCTTGACCCCCTTATCCAGGTTCTGCAGATTCTGCCTTCTTGATATCTTTCTAATCTTTATTTATTTATTTTTTTTTTTTAAAGATTTTTTATTGGGGAATTGGGGGGATGGAAACAGTGCTGGGGAGTTGGGGGAAGGGGAACAGACAAGTTGCTGTCGTTTGTTCTTCAATCTAGTTGTGGAGGATGTTGCTTCACTGGCCCAAGTTGGCACCATCATTGCGCTCTTCTCGGGCGAGGCAGATCAGTCGCCGGCTTCTGGACGGCCGCTCACTGCGGCTGCTGGCCGCTCACGCTGGCTGCTGGCCACACACGGTAGCCCATGGCAATCCACTGCCACAGGGACTGCAGCCCACGCCGTCGCCGGCGACTCATGGCAGCCCAGCTCCAGGTTGAGCTGTTGTTCAGCATCTCAGCTGCGGAGGGCAGTGTCACTGGCCCTCATATGTGGGATCCGAACCGGGGCCCTCTGGCATCCCAAGCGAGTTCTTAACCATCGCGCCACTCGGCCGGCCCTCTAATCTTTATTCTTAGTCATCACCTTAATTCAGCATTTATAAATTTTTGTTTGGGTTGTTGTAATACCTTAACTGCATTCATTCTGCTTTTTGTCTTTTAACCTCTAATTTATTCTGCATTCTCTCTATATAAAAAAAGATTAAAACTCATCGCCTACCTGAGTTCCAGTGATAAATATTTGTTAAATGATTATTTCATTTTTTTTTTTTAATCTTCAGAAACCTTCATTAGCTTCTATTACCCATAAAATAAAGCCTGAAGAGCTTGACATTCAAGGTCTACTTGATACTTACCACTTTTTACTAGAAGAATCAGAGTTAGATGCCCCTTCTCTTGGTTCCCCAGACTTAGCTTTGTCTCCATGATTGCATGTATTATTGAAATTGCCTTCTCTAGCTCTTGCTCTCATTAGTAAGTTCTTTCAGGCCCACGTTTCATTTAATGTTGCATACTTAAGGCCTAATATGGTATTTAAAACATAGTTTTTAGTCCGAATATATTTTAGAAACATGGATATGTGCTGGTGCTTGAAATAGATATTTGCGCACCCAGTGTCCTACTTGGTTGTCAGTCTCTAATCAAAGAAAGACTCAGAGGCTGCCTTATTCATCATTGTTTCCCCAGCCTTTAGTGTTTTAACTGGTATGTGATGGGCATTGAGTAAGTATTTGTTTATTGCTAGGTACTTTCATATACTTATTTTATTTATTTTTAAAAAAGATTTTATTGGGGAATTGGGGGAGGGGAACAGCACTGGGGAATAAGGAAAGGGGAACAGACAAGTTGCTGCTGCTTTGTTCTTCAGTCTAGTTGTGGAGGATGTTGCTTCACTGGCCCAAGCTGGCACCATCATTGCACTCTTCCCGGGTGAGGCAGATCAGTCGCCAGCCTCTGGACAGCTGCTCACGCTAGCTGCCGGCTACACACGGTAGCTTATGGCAGCCCACTGCAGCAGGGGACTGCAGCCTATGCTGTAGCCAGTGACCCACGGCAGCCCAGCCTCAGGTCGAGCTGCCATTCACCATCTTAGCTGCAGAGGGCAGTGTCACTGGCCCTCATATGTGGGATTTGAACCGGGGCCCTCTGGCATCCCAAGTGAGTTCTTAAACAACGCACCACTCGGCCTGCCCCATATACTTATTTTAATTGATAATCTATCTGAAAAGCTTCTCCTTCTCTGCCTTTGCCCATTAAAATTCTACTCAAGCTTTCAGGCCCAACTCAAGTGCTATAGAAACTGTTCTGTGAAATTGTTTTTCTTGTGGAATCCAAAGAGGATCCTTGATTGGGCTTCAGTAAACCTGAATCGTCTGAAATTCCAATTCTCAAACTT